TAACTTATATTCTGAGACAACTAACACAATCTGTTATTAAGTAGTCTCAACATCAGGTATGTAACTTATATTCTGAGACAACTAACACAATCTGTTATTAAGTAGTCTCAACATCAGGTATGTAACTTCTATTCTGAGACAACTAACACACTCTGTTATTAAGTAGTCTCAACATCAGGTATATAACTTATATTCTGAGACAACTAACACAATCTGTTATTAAGTAGTCTCAGCATCAGGTATGTAACTTATATTCTGAGACAACTAACACAATCTGTTATTAAGTAGTCTCAGCATCAACTATGTCATTTCATGTCTGCGACACGGCCGGGCGTCTAATGAGATAGAACGGAAGACAGAGCGTCGCACAGGCTGTACCACATAAAGTTAGACTGAACTGAAAATAATGAAAATGAAGATTTTCAACACATGTAGATAAGATTCATAGCACAGCGGGATCTGACCACTATCATCCACTGTGAAAGCTATTCATGTATGAAGATGATCTCTGAACAGAATACGGTAGTTATAAATATGGAGCAATCTAGCACAGCGATGAAATAAAACAGTATTAATGATATGTTTCTAAATACACAGAGATACCCAATTTTCCCGTTTTAATTTGTCACTTATGTAGTATTTCCCTCCGTCTGATATCTAGGGTACGCACTCTGATTAGTTGACATATATATAGATCGCTTTACAGAAGATACGCATTTTGCTAGTTATGTAGATTATAAAAATAATCTATTTTGAGAAATGACTGAAAACAATCCTATGCCGTACTTACATAAAGTGGGTCACTATTGAGCCCATTCTTCAGCCAGGAGAACATGATGTACTGTACAGCAGTGACCGCCGTCATTATGGCCCGCTGAATGCTAAATACTTTCCCAAAATGTTCGTGTGGCAAACTGAAAAATATATTATTCAATTTTGAGACGTGTCTTTGCTGCGTAATATAAAAGCAAATGACCGCACTGTGCTGCTACATTCGATTTTATATAAGCTTTGTACTAGTATAGAATTTAGTAAGCCCCGTTCTTAAGAGACATCTACGGATGTCTCTCTCAACAGCACATAAACAAAAACATCAAGAATTAATAATAATAATAATAATAATAATAATAATAATAATAATAATAATAATAGATATTATTATTATTATTTTTATTGTTGTTGCTGTTGTTATTATAATTATTAATTTTATTTTTATTATTATCATTATTATTATTATTATTGTTATTATTATTATTACTAGGGCAACTACACGTTATGATCAAGGTAAATAGAGAATTAAATCCAGCTCTAGAAGCAGTAACATAACCTCAGTGATGAAACACCCCTGTGACTGATTATAGAGCTACAAGGTGACCAACGAGCCAGAAACTTAACTTGGATGTTTTATTGGAAGTAATCTGACTGATAATACATAACAATCAATATACATGTACATATAGCGACATGATACATGATACAGTCATGCAATAGGGAAGTATACTTACGCATACACAAGGAACGCGAGATGCACCCCGTACGTGAATGTCCGCAGTACGCAGTGAAGAAGCATGGCCACGTAGTGTACCTCCAATACCGGCACTGCGCATGTCACCCACAGCAGCAGTCCCGACATACACGTGACTAGGAATGGACCAATGAACGTCTTTGGTTCAGCTGAAAGGGACATACATGTTAGGGGTGCATCCAGGATTATTTCAAGAGGGGGTCCGATTTTTCAGGATTGACAGGCCTCGGATGCAAAGTCGACCCTAGGTCCACTTTGGGGTGTTTTGGGAGGGCAAACAGTGCCATTTGGAACGGTTAAGAATTATAAATCAGCTGGTCAAAATTCTTATTCCAAGAGGGGAATATCAGTATGATTTTTTTCAGAAACCGAAGGTGGTGGTGGTGGTGGTGGTGGTGTGTGTGTGTGTGTGTGTGTGGGGGGGGGGGGGGGGGGGGGGGGGGGGGGGGTAGGACCCCGCTGGCCCACCTCTAAATCCGCCACTGCATGCACCATTAAAACCAAAACACGTGTGACTTCAATACTTGACTCGTACAGCAGGTTTTTGCATGAGTTGTGTTTATCGCCTGTTTATATTGTACACATGCTGCATTATCCTAAAAATATGCAGATGTCCATCCATGCAAAGATTTGCTCAGTCAGAGAAAGAGACAGAGAGAGAGTGTAATGAAGAGAGAGAGAGAGGATGAAGAGAGAAAAAGAGAGATGGAGAGGGAGGAGAAAAAAACGGAGACCGTGTATTCTGTCCTCCCCACTGTGTAGTCTGTTGACCAAATGGCCGGCAAATATGGCCAGAGGCATGCTGATACCAAGCTGTAGATAACCAAAGACATTGGTGTAATGGCTGACTGAAATGTAGAAAAATGATAATCTGCTTCTAATTGAACAAAATATAGTTTAAGGCAATTCATTTGATACACATTAAAAAAAACGTAGCCCTGAGGATTGCATGACGCCATTGGGGTAACAATTTACTTACCGGTGTCATGTACCAGAAGGTCCCCCATGACAGAGAGTCCGCTTCCCATTTATTTGTACAAATGAGCCTCGCCCTAGATTCTGACCTACAATGTACTTAGGTCAAATTAACCCTAGCCATTATAACTATATGGAGGGCGGACTTTCTGTCTCACGAACCCTCAGTTTCGTGACACCGACATTGCTTTGATTTTCTCTACTTCTATGATTAATCGAAACATGACTTCGCGACTGACAAGTGTGCTGCAGCGTTATGTTCTTGTGAATAAACGTAAATATAACTCATGTAACTGAAGTCCAGACATGAAAGCAGCCAGGAAACAACTATTAATAAGTCATTTTTTTCAGTCCAAATATAAACATAAAACAGATGTGTTGAAACTACTCTTAACGTTCATCTTTGAACGTATGCATGTATCAGCATATCGATAATATGTGTAGCTATAGAAAGCGTTCATTTCTATTTTAGTGGTCATAATTGAAGTAGGTAAAGATATATGTGCACTTACTTGCATTAACATCCCCGTATGATCTGTACTCTATCATGGCATTAAAGCTGCCGAAGTATGAAACAATCAAGAAGGAATTTCCGCAAAACCAAAATTGTGTCATCCAAAACATTGCGCCCTTCAACACGACACTGAATGGCAAGCGTTTTTCATTTTTGGTTGCAGAATCCTGTCCAGCCTTGGAAACAGATAAGCCGACCCTTTCTGTGGAGGGCTTCTCTTGGCCGGTTATAGTGGCAATATCTACTCTTCCGTTTTTAAGGGCTGTCTCTCCACTTATCTCGGCGTTTTTCTTCTTGTCACAGTTTGAAAAGTCTGATGTGTCACCACGTGTGAAACTTGTCAAAATTGCACCTGGGTCGTCTGTGATTTCTGGATCAACTTCCACAGCAGGGTTATCCCAAAAACCAGCATCTTCTTTGTTCTTAGTATCCATTAATGTGATAGCAATTGGACGGATTCATCGAAAAGAAAAGTTGGACATATGTTCAGTTATATTAGGTGAAATTGTTTAATTTTAATTAATCGGTGATGGTATCATTTAGATAATTGCAAGTTTAACTGAACATTTCAAAATGATTAAGCAGTACTGTTATACATACTTTTGTGCCACTTGAAGATTCGGCAGATACCTCGGAGTCCACTGGAGAAATGACGTAGATCGTCTCACTGCAGGACACCAGGCAGCTGTCAGAGCATTTGATGTCACTGACATCTGGATGTCTGTCCTTGTCATTGTCTAACATTGACTCACGAGGTGGCAGCACAATGGTGGTGGCGGTGGCAATAACAAGTGTTCCACACCCCATGGCAATCAAAGACAGACGGTACGGTATCCCGGCATCATACGCCAACTGGAGATGGGCACAAAAAAGAAATCGTCCATGAGTGGATTAGCTGTTTACAGGTCTGCATCTTTGAACCCGATTACTTTCGGCAATGTTGTGCATTTCGAAGAGACACTATTATTATTCAAATCTTATGTAAAACTCTGGAAAATCGTTGCATATTACCTTGACCAACACAAAGCTGAAGTTGCTCATGTCGGCTGCACCAGAGACAAGAGTGGCAATAAAGGATTTCTTAGCAGGGAATAAAGACGTTAGCTGCATGTCTGTAGTCATTAGCATCCCACCCCCCAAGAAATGGAGGGTTGCACCCGGATACAGGAGCCATTCCAGTCCTAAAACACACAAAGAACAATGTTCACGTTAGCAATTTGAAAAATTATCCTTAGTTTGCAAAATTAGTTTTAGTGTTTATCATTAAATGGTTCTCTACATGTATAGAGGGTGAACATAACAGACAATGATGAAGGATAAAGGGAAGCCCTACCAAATGTAAATATCTTTAAGGAAGTCCCAAAGTGAACCTGGCAAGGCAACGGCTACCTTCCTTTTGTATGAGTGTTATATGTCTATGCCTTAACAAGTATTTCTATACCCTGTGTGGACCACATATTCACATGCACATGTGTTTACATATTCAACAGAATCCGCGATATAACATAGTTACCTGGTTCAGAAAAGGCAATGAGGAAGCATCCACTAAGATTGAAAAGTCTGCAAAGAAAAAGATGTTGTAAATATATAATGGGGACTACATACTAGTAGACACATCTCAACCTTAAGAGAAAAGAAGTCAGGATTATCACACTTAACCGACAGTTCCAGTGATGTAAATACTGCGGTTTATGTTATAATTAGATTTAGCTTTAATTGAAAACTGAGGTATAAATAAATAAATAAATAAATAAATAAATAAATAAATAAATAAATAGACGTTAACGCATGTCGCTGCTGGTGCTGCACTCTATCGGTTCATTAACGAAAACGAGTGTCAGCATCTTAACTTGCAAATCGCAAATAGATACTGGTCACTCACTCGATCCCTGGCGTCCGCTAATTCAATTTCGCCCTGGCCCCGTAACTCCAAAGCAACGCGTATTGCGAATAGCGAGAGGCTACAATGTATTATATGGGGCGAGTATGGGCGAGTTGTGGAATCTAGACGATTGCGCTCGGTCGCAATGCGAGATGCTTTCGAGTTACGGGGCCTTGATCTCCAATAACATACCCAAGTCCATGCACTCTTTGGCAAAAGTAACAGAGACCAAGGTTTGAGGAATAAACTTGTAGCACTTCTCAAAGGGTGAGCTAACACTGTACGAATTATTTTGTAGGGGCCCATACAGCAGATTCTATTATTATGCAACGTTTTCACTGTATCTATTTCGCTCCATCCAAACACTATTCAGCCACTGTCGTTTTCCCCTGTACGCTTCAAGCATCTCTTTTACGCCATTTCTTTGTGTTAACAATGGGTGCTCCACTTACTAGAGCCAAAGACGAGTACACTATGCGAGACTCGAAATAGCGAGACGATTCATCAACCATTAACCCACTGTTTATACGCTATCGTATTTCCTATTTAAATTCAAGTCATATTCGCAAAGAAGACTGCAACTTTATCTTGCTTTAAAGAGCAGCATTTTAATAGTCCAATAACATTAGTTGTTTTCCTCTTGAAGAAGGATTTATTGATACAGAATACAAAGTTTTTTATATAAATCAGGGACAGTATGTCATCTAAAATGCTTTCTTGTGTATTTCTGGTATCTAGTGTTGAGAAACTTATATTCTGACTTCTGGTACGTTTCTGTACACATTCTTAATATTAACATCTCAACTTACATGGACAATACTCGGGTGCGGATCACACCATAGTGGTCGTAAAAATAACCTAGAGCTGGCAACACGACCTGTAACGATATAGCCACAGTGTAGACCAGGTTTAGACCCTGCTCCTGTTCCGGACAGCCAGGGCTACCCTGATGCCCACTATCCCCAGAGACTGACCAGTTGGCGTCCGTTGTCAAGTTAGCTCCGCAGAGGTCGATGTGGAAACCTGCGTCCCTGAAGATATAGACAAGTGAGGGCCAACCCGTGACGCTGACAGTGTACAAACCTGTCTCCAGCAAACCCAGGGTGACAGCGAACACTTTAAGTACAGAAGAGTATGTCAACTTTGGCATTGTCCAAAATGACCACTAATGTACCAGTGATACATAGAACGCCGTACAAGTAACTGAATATTGCCGAGGTAATGTTAATGTTCCGCATGCGCATGTATAGAGTGCAGAAGGAACTATAAGGATTATTCAGGTAAAACGATAAACAGCGACTATTTCGGACACGACAGATAGAAACATTTCATTGTTTCTATCGCCTTACAATACTAAACGGCTAAATGGCAAAAAAATTAAGAGCAGAAGGCTGACAGAAACACGAATGCTGGAAGAAAAAAGAACATGAGACGAAGTAAAATAAATAAAGATTGCAAATTATAAAAGAGAAAGCAAAATAAGAAGGAAGCTTCGATAATTTCCTGAGGATTGTGTTAACAGTATATGCCACTAGACCCGACTGCATCGGTAAAAGTTGTTTTTAAATAAAGCTAAAACTGCACGCTACGTCCTGGCTTCCAGTCCATTTAAATTAACGTAGACCGGAGTGCATTTCAGAATCGTGGCTACCAACAGTTGCTTCGTAACCAGCTTCTCTGTTCTTGATATGTTTTAATATTTGACGGACTGAAAGTATTAAAATGGGACCTGTTTCAGCTTAGTAATGCGTAGCACACGTGTGTGATTGACGGGTGAAGAAATAAGATGTTTTCTCCAGGTACATCAACCTTAGCTGAGGTGCGATATACGCGCATGAAAACCATGTACGCGTTGGTTATATAAACATATTTCCTCATATACAGTATAACTGTTTATAAACAGTATATCCATCATACAAATAACAGTAATGGTATTGTTTTATCATCATGTTTTATCAATGGGACATCGTGGCTTGAAATGAAATGATGACAAACGAATCATTCCTTATGCTCAAAGAACAAGAAGAAAACGCAGGAACTTAAAAGAGTTCACAACTCGTTGTAATTTTTCATTGATAGTAATCAATAATCAAACATCAATAGTCCAGCAACAACCAGCCAGGCGGCAGCTGAGGCTACAGTGGTTTACTTAGTTGTACCTCGGGCTGAGCACGCACTGGGAGCGCATAAACCAGCTGGTATATAGTATAACCTCGGTGGTACGGACACGGCCAGCTACTAGGACAGAATGACGGGAAGTAGAAGGGTCTAACACCTTTCTTGAGAGACGGAGAGTTGTTTATAGGTCAGTACACCTCACGAGTGGTCAGCGATCATAGGTCAGTTGAAGGAGACTTGTACGGTTGTATATTATACTATCGCTATCGCTCGGCATGTTATGGTACCTCTGTATATGTCGGGCCCGGGCTCATTGGCAGTGTATTATCCAGTCTATATTGTTGAACTAGCGTGCTTATTGTTACGGGTATATGTAATGTTACATAGATAATATAAAATTGATTCATCATCATCGTCGTCATCATTATTTACTGCTGGGCAAACGCCTCACCATGCTTTTTCCAGTGTATAAAATGTCTCAAAGCTCCTGAAACTTGAAAGAAAGCGTGGCCAGGTCCTGCATGCGTACTGTATGTGTTGTTCTACAGGTAGTATGTGGATCATCATCGTATCAGAATTAAGTCACGTCTCAATCATTCCGTGGCATGCACGTTTTGACAGGTGATCTGTGTTTGATTTCAGCTCTCTAAGCAAATCGTAGCTGAGGGTGCTGGCAGGGTGACTTAATACAAGTACAATATATAAACCCCCTCGTTGAATTGGTACTGACTTGAAACACATAGGTGAATGTGACATCTGCTTTTAACACTTTAACTTAGACAAGATAGGTGATAAGTATTGCTAATGAAGATCATGCAAAATTTTAATTGATTTAAATGATCTAAGCACCCATCCCAACATCTGTAAGTGACCATTCAGGTAAAATCGGCTATACATAACATTCATTTCGTATAAGCATCTACCAGGGAGTAGTTTTAACTCGAGTTAAAATCTACCAAGATACCCATCCCCATCTGACTTCAGAATTGAACTTCAGTGAACGCTGTGCATTCTGTGCCGTGGTTAAAGATTTGATTCAGTATTTGACGTCGCAAAAAAAGAACGCGTGTTAATTAAAGATGGGATTTAAAGGGTGGCTTTATTCTTAATCGGCAAAAATATATCAAACCTTAGATATACCTATGATCCTAGGTGTCTTACAAAAATGGCCAAACGTTTAAGGAAAGTTATGTAAGTAGTTAATATGTCATGGTGGGAAACGACACTTAACATTTACCACGCTCGGCTGTCACCTTGATTGGATAGTAAACGATTGTCGTAAAATCGCTAAATGATATTAAAACCGGATGCATAAACTTGAAAACCACCTAGGACAACCTTAGACTGCCACATTAATCCAATACAATGCAAAAATAAACTATAACAAGTGCTTAAAGCCTTCAAACCGAATGTCGTAAAGTCTCCATATACCTCCATAGAGACAATAAAATAGAGTAAGCTTGTGAAACAAGATTCCACAATTTTAAACATAATAATCGAAATAAAATACTGCCTGGCATCGGAGCGGCCTAAAACTTGGCACGCTTACCGGCTACATCACCCGACCCAAACGTCAAACCGAGAATTTGGATTTACGGTTTGATTGTGCGTATGCCATGCACAGAATTTACAAACGAGCGACGGGGTGATGTAGCCTGCAGTATTTGCGGTAAGTGTGCCAAGTTTCAGGCCGCTCCGTATTGGCCTTAGCAGGTACTTCTGAAGATCCCAAACATACATCTGTCTGTGAAAATTTGACAGCAATTACCCGCAACTTTTAAACAACCGTGTCCTAATACCTAACACGTTGTTGAGCTCATAATTAAGATTTGAAATTTCTCAATCCGAATGGTTTACACAATATGAGGACAAGGCAAATGTTTTATGCGTTACATATACATATAACGATTTTACCGATTTAATTATCTCAATATATAATTTACACGATTAAGGAAAAATTCAAACAACGTTACTTTTTTTAACGCCTCCATGATATTTGGGCGAGAAAAAGAAATGATATTTCTTGGTACATTTGGTACATAGTGGTAAATATTGGTTAATCTTGGCACATTTTGGAACATGTTGGTCTAAAGTGGTACATATTGGTTTATCTTGGTACATCTTGGTTTATCTTGGTACATGTTGGTACATGTTGGTCTAACTTGGTACATGTTGGTACATGTTGGTTTATCTAGGTACATGTTGGTCTAACTTGGTACATGTTGGTTTATCTTGGTACATGTTGGTACATGTTGGTCTAACTTGGTGCATGTTGGTACATGTTGGTCTAACTTGGTACATGTTGGTACATGTTGGTCTAACTTGGTACATGTTAGTACATGTTGGTTTATCTTGGTACATCCTGGTGCATGTTGGTCTATCTTGGTACGTGTCGGTACACGTTGGTGCATGTTGGTCTAGCTTGGTACATCCTGGTACCGGGGTACGTGTCGGTACATGTTGGTACATGTTGGTACATGTTACTATATGCACCATAATATCCTCCGCACGATCGCACTAAATTGCTCTTCTGACCTTATACTGGGTAATTACATGTGCTTTTTAGCTAATTGCCTTTAAATTGCTGTTTGAATAATATAGAAAGGACAATCAAATGAAGAGAAACTATCCCCAGGGGAATCATTATAGCATTGTTGAATTGTCACCTCTTTAGGTCGTTTACTAAAGGGAAATTACTTCTATTAGATGTAATAGCCCCAGCCATAGGGCAGTACAGGATTAATATCATCCACGTGTTCAGAATTTGGAATCATCGACTATGGCTGCACCCTGTAGATTCGAGACATTTGTATTGGCAACAGCGACCTGAGGCTATGTCAGGAGACAGTGCTATGTAAGGCCAAGAGAGGCGGTGGAGGTGCTGACAGACTGAGGTATTGTTCCTAATTTCTTGGATTAACAGTAAAAGCATTAATTTCTACTGGGCGTGTGGTACAAAAACCTTGGCCAATTAAAACTGCCACAGTGAATATTGAACCTTTTCGGCAAACAAGCCTTGATCCATTTCATAATACTGTTCGTGTGTGCGTGCGTGCGTGTGTGTGTGTGTGTTTATGACCAGTGATAACCTGTGGTGGTTGTTCTGGCAGAATAGAACTGTGTAGCAGTTTGTATGGTCAATTAGGCAGCAGCAGCGCACACAGAGGCACATGTGGCGTTTTCTACAAGTCATGATGTATCACACGTGCAGGCCATTTCAAAGAGCTGAACATTTAAGGCTATTAAGTAAATCTCTAAAAGTAATGAGCCCATTTCTTCCAGACATCTCTGAACTGTTAATGCGTAGGATTCTAGCCTCATTGCTTTCACTGTAGTACAGAGCAATAGCAGACGTTTGGCAGTAAACTGGTTTATAGAAGTACCGTATATATATTGCCCTGTGAATGCAGTATCAAATTTTAATTCGATTTTAAAACCTTAATCCATAAACAATTTCATTTTCACGTTTTTAGTTTTTATCTTTTACTAGAAAACAATCCCTGATGCTCATATTTTAAAGAATCTATTGGCTTAATGAATTCCTATCTAAAAAGAAAAGCAAAGTCCGAGGAAAGTCGGCCAAGTGACGATCTTCCGCCTGTTAGGGACCCCTGCCAATAATTTTCTCAAAATAAATGATAATGTTATATAGAACTGATACAATGGATCATCTTGCCTTAGCGGTGTTGTCAGCCGTGGGACGTCTTGATTTCACCCAATTTATAGGCATGAATAATATACACGTCTTTGGGTCAGGTTTAAGATGAAAGCTACCTTGGGACAGGTGTAACTACTTATTAACTACTGACTGGAGGTCGTGTTTTTAATAGTATGTTTAACACATATTGTTAAATCAAATTATATGACCTAAATACCAAACATGATCATGTATAACATTACTTGCTTCTGTCAAATTTATTGCATATGTACACTTTCTCTCTGGGTTTCCTGGGAAATTGAAATGACAGACGTGATCATCTCATAGATGAGTTCCAGGAATCTCTGGCACTCAGGGTGCCTGCTCCAACGGCTGTTTGCACAACATTATCCTCTCTATACAGCGCCCCCTGCTGGTTAAATTAGTCATATCCCATATTCTGATAGCTATTGGCTGCCCCTTTTACAGCCCAGGGGATATATTTCTTAAATTCGGCGCTATAATTAAAGGTAATTGGTGCTGTAAGATAGTTCTAGTTTGGAAGATATACACACTGTATGTTATATAGAGGACACAGATTTGACGCAGAGGCACTTAGCTTGGTACTCTTATGGAAATCCCCGGGGCATCTCAGTTTAAACTGCAGTATGCGTTTTGTAAAGTACTGTGCAGGATACAGCATTACGTTAGTTGCTACTCGAGATATACTGGTATAAAATGCATGCACTGCTGGTATAGTTTCTTACTGACAAGCCACTTCTGGTCTATATATGTACGTTACACGAATATTGCACATGTTTTTGACTATGTGCGAGAGGAGGGGATAATGGGCATGCGGGCACCTGATAAAGGGTTATATAGGCGATGGTTGGAAGAGGTGAACTGCGTTGTCAGTACGTATTGTAGTTTATAATACCATTAGCACTTGGTTTATTCATTAAATTATCATTTCATTAAGCCTGTTTTCTAGAAAATATGTTTTTTGTATAGAATTTAGAAATTCATCATCTACATTTACATGTAGTCAAATGGGTTTTACTATATATTCTAAATGGATTTGTGTAATTCCATGACAGTGTAATTGTCGCGGTGATTGACATACAGGTAGATAGTCTGCACCTGGCAGTCATTACATGTAGGAGAGTGCTCATATCACACTGCAGGTAATACGTGAACGGGAGACAACCGGAATTGTCGGTCTCGCATCTACTTGACTCCATATCAAATCGTTCGTCGTTGTAGTGATAAGGTGTTCACTGTAAGTTGTTGCATGGGAACCGGAAGAAAAGAAACAGTACCTAGCATACTCTAGTGACTGTTGATCCAAAGTCCCATGCCCTGACAGTGACCCCTGGTGGCAGCAAGACGGCACTGAAGAAAACTGTAAGTTCACGTTTATTGGTGACATTTACACAGTGTCTTTTAATTAGGCAAGCTTTGTAATGCGATTTTGAAGACCTGCTTGTTGATATAAAACCACTTAGGTTATGCAACAACAACAACTGGCTCTGTGACGGATGAAGTCTTCAACCCGGAAGATATTTTTATCTCGAAAACTATATGTCATCAGCAAGATCGTGCAGCCAGACTTTCCTTCATAAAATTATATTTATATGCAATGTTACATTATATATATTCTTGATTGGTGTGCTAATACTGAATTCGAACACTGGTAATTGTAACCATGTGTTTTCCTGGTGAATGTGTTACTTCATTAGAGATAGGGTGCCAAATATCAATGGGTGTTAGAATCAGCAAGGGATGTTAAATTCAATCATTGGATAGCATAACACCTCAGATTATACACACCACATACTAGTGAGGTACAGCTGAAAACATACTGGTAGAAACAGGTACTACTTGTATGTGTTTTTTCTCCTTGGAAATTTCAATTATGTGTGTACAACACAGGAGTGCAATCTCTCACTACATTTCAAGCAAATCGACTAATTTTATTATCCAATAAAATGTTTTTGTAAGCCTGAAAAAGAATTTGGTGATAATTCTAAAAATTGCTTAATTTTCATGTCCGAAAATGCATTTTGGTGAGTAACCGAAACTTTGAAATTTAGAAGCAAAAAGAAGACAAGGGATTGTTGAAGTTCAGGAGTGGTAATGACATCTAATCCGTACCCCAAGGTGTGGGTACCTTCCCAGCCTCGGTCAACCCACCACCACCAGCTGGACGGTACCACGCTGTAGAGTAGACATGTGTGATAAACCAAGTTGGATAAACTGACACCTGTTGGCTAGTTGACAACATTAGATACAATTATCTTCACAGTTTGTAGGGACCCGTAGACCAGCATTGAGATACGCTATACATACGTGAAGATGATATGAATGAAGCTAGGTTATACGTTACAACTTATGGTCACTATCTCTCTCTCTCTCTTTCTCTCTCTCAGCAAAAAAATAAATAAATCAAAAACACACTCTCCGTTGTCCTTAGGCAGTGCAATTGTTTTTGTTAATGAGATACGAACACCTCTCTTGTTGTTAAGTTGAGTTTTATATCTGTGTTCTGAAACAGATCTGACTGTATTAGTCCATTGATACTAATTATTGCAAGTAAACCCCGATGTCGCGCTAAGGATTGACGACGCTGAGGGTTATTGTCTGGTATGTCTATCACATGTTCACTGAGGGTGAGGGGGTTAATGCACGCTCTGGGGGATCTCTGGTCTTATCTAAAATAACCAATGATTGAGAAATGTTTAAGAGACTTATGAGAAACGTAGTCTTTTGTCAACAGTTTTAGAATTAAAATTAAACTTCACCAGACACGGTTCTTGTGTTTATATTCAGAAGTCATCTGACAAAATAATCTTCATTCCTATGAAATAATCTAGCTGATATATATTTTCAATACTCATATAACTTGTTTTCTAACATTACGTTCATTTCACGGAAACGTATGTACGGGCACCTGCTCAAGCCTCAGCTTGTGATATTTGCACTCTCACCTTTTGGTTATCAGAAATCCAGTAATTTAGATAATAAGTCGCAGGCGGCGCAGTGGTGCTGAGGTAATGAGAAATCTCCGGCCAGCCGCAGGGTATTGACGACGTGGCATTGGAGAAATGAGAAACCTAATTAAAACTCAGTATACCTATCATTCCTTCATATTAATATTGTGCCCTTTTCAGGGCCATTCACGTCTTGTTTCTTGACAGAGTGAATTAAGGCAGACGCCACTGGCACACGTAAACCATAAGTCAGTACAAACTCCATTTTGTCTACGGTAATCATGAATGCATTTTCAATAATACCATACGTGCCTTTGTCGGCCTAGTCTAGTTAAACTTGCAACAGAATTGTTAATAACCTGACTTCGAAGTTATAAAAACGCGTGGCCGCCATTATAAGCCGTAGGAGTAAAATGACAATCAAAACGGAGATATAGTGGGGAACAAATCACAGTTATGACAGATGGTTTCATCTATTTCTCGCCCACAATATACTGGTATTAATTATTTTCTGACAAGAAACATGTATATAAAAGTAACAGCACGGTTGATCCTGGAAATTACTAAGTGGAATACATGTAAAATAATCGGTGTTTTTGATTCTATATATATAACCTATAGACATACGTGTCATTAACAGATCTACGTCATGTAAACGACTCATTCACAGCCTACACTTACCCTGGTCACTTCTGTGACACGTTTTTAGTAGAATAATGTAAAGTAAGGGACAACAGTAATATGTTATATTTGACTTCTGTTCCTGGAGATTAATAAGATATTATTAAGCTAGGGAAATTAATGACTGAATTCTGTGGATGCAAATCGACATCCAAGTTGTGTAAACAATGTGACGTGATCAAAATGAACTCCTTAGGTTTCCTACTTGACCGTGCAGTGACACTCCCTACGCCTGGTGTGAGCTCGGAACACTATCATCTACAGAATGCTAAGACACACACCCTGCAGGTAAAGCTAAAGTGGTCCCAGCAGGCATGTGCTTATACAAAAAAAGAGGCTCTCTTACTGGCACAGTAGCTTCCTGACCCTTAGGGTAACACATTTATAGTATGCATCACTTGATGATAAAGAACGGTCAGATCCGGTTACATTAACACGGCGATGCAAATGATCTGACGTAATCCCCTCCCCCCCCACCCCCCGAGTACCAACACTGAACATCCTGTATCCCCACACATATAATTCCATAGACCTTTAGTGGTTAACCGGTGTTCATGGCAAATGATTCCAAGTACTAAATTAGCATTAAAGCTAGTGCATAAGCGGTAACACTTCAAACAAAAAATCTAGGAATATTTCATATATCGTTACAAACACCTGCAGAAACAGCCGGATGATAGTTCAAAGATCAGTTTCGTTGAGTCAACAAGAAAAAAGCAGCCTATATGCAGCGTGATACTGGTACTGAGTCAAGCGTGGTAAGCAATTCACATTATAAAGCTTAGATCGACTTGTGTGGTGTAAAGTTATACCTTGGAGTACGCAAATAGTCAACTAATTTCATTTTCTTCCGGTTACAGATTAAATGTGTTCGGCTATCCAGAAGAGCCACTGACTAAGAGAGTGCTAAAAAACTAAAATGGGGCTAAGGCGGCTTTGAAACTGTGTGCTTCATCTCCGCTGTCACATGTGTGTGATTCCTGTATCAAATATTTTTTCGCCGAACTGGAAACGACCTGTCCCCTGGGAAACCTCAGCTAATGGCGGTAAAACCAGCCAACGTCTTTAAAACGTTGTAAGCTTCAAGTATAGTGAGTGGACCAGGTTACCTCAGAACTCGGACCGCATCTGGCTGATATGGGCTACAATGGGTACACACGGGCTGTCCACCAGGCACGTGAGGGACGCAGTCCACTGTCCTTGGAATATCTGGAGACTGACCAATGGTCGCACATGGTAGGCAATCCACTACCAACACTGTCTGTGTGTATACTTTAAAATATTCCTTTGGGCACCAGCTAGAATCATACTGTATTATTCGAGGAGGCTTTCATATCTTCTTATTCGATTTCGTAATGTTGTTGCAAAACATTGGCTTGCTTTTGAAAATATCGGATGAAGGATATTGAGACATTTATTCCTTTCAATCATTTCAAGATAGAAGTGACAGGTTTAAAGTTGCATAGGCCATTACGTTGTTGAATGCTCGGGAAAACAGCTTTTCTGTCGAGAAACACGGATAACGTATTTATCTAAGCTATTGAAGACCGACACGGTACAGTTATCTTTCAAAGTAACAACCGCTGCCTCGACATTTCTGTCAGATTTCATTGAGAGTCGGCGTAAAGAAACTTCAGGTTTTAAATATACTGTAAAACGTGAAAAGCGATTCACTTTCTAAGCGAAGCGCTGTTAGTGAATTCACTCGTATCTTCGGAACTGTCTTTACCAGAAGTGTGGAACATGTCGGACTTCGAATGTTACAACATGAATGCCAATGTGACAACTACCTGTGACCATGGCAACCTCACATTCACCTTGGATACCAGTCTGTTTAACTCCGTACTTCCGGTGGTGTTATGCCTGGTGTCTGTTATTGGTATCATAGGCAATGTGCTGGTTATTATCGTGGTGAAAAGGAACATGTACATCAACTGTTTGTTCCTGAACCTGGCCGTGGCCGATCTCCTGTTTATCCTGATATGTGTCCCTATTCAAGTGTCCATCTACGCCAGTGAGGGGACAATTCAGTTTGGAGATTCTGTGTGTAAAGTTTCCTTCTACTTCAGTTACGTAACTATGGGAGTCAGTATTTATTCCCTGGTGTCTATATGTGTTCTGCGGTACATAGGAATTACTCGGCCTCTCCAGTGCAGAGGTGTGCTGAGCCGCCGTAGTGCCATCTGGACCAGCGGCGCCATATGGGCTGTCATATGCAGTATTAACATCCCTATCATCATATTTCATCGTGGAACTGAGGGTGGCGGGTGTAACCTGTGTGTGAACGGCCAGACGGAGTATTACGTGTACATTGGGTTGGTGTCTGGGTGTGATTTCTTCCTGCCAGCTACCGTATTACCAGTCATCTCGGTTTTAATCATCAGAGAAGTCCGGAGAGACATGACAGAGATGGAGAGAACGCAACTGGAGTCAGCGCCCTATGTGAGGGCGGCCAAATCCTCCAGTACTCGGCTCATCGTCCTGATAGCCCTAGTGGCCTTCTTCTTTGTACTCTGCTGGGGGCCAGCACACCTAATGCTGCTACTGGAGGCCAGTGGTGTCGTCATCGCCGACTGTCCATCTCCCGCTGTTAAAACTGTTATGTTCGTGGCTTTGTTACTGCTCCACACCAATTCCAGCATTAATCCCCTACTGTACAACTTTGTCTCTGCCGAGTTTAGGAAATCTTTTCTTGCTGTTTTGAAATCACACTGTAGCTCTGAAAGAAAAAGACGCAGGGAGTCGGTTAATATTGAAATGTCGCATCAGATTAGACACAGAGCTAGCCGAAGAATATCACAGAGAGTTATACTTTAGACGCAGGACTAGCCGAAGAATATCACAGAGAGTTACATTGTATACTTAAGACACAGAGCTAGTCAGAAGATATCCGGTATAGTTATATACTAGTACTTTAGACACGGAGCCGGGGATATTGTAGACAGTTATACCTTATTTAAGAAAGAAGTAAACCTTTCTTAAAAAGTTTACATGACTTAAATGCTCTAACGAAATATATGCTTTCGTGGTCAAACTAAAGTGATAACAACACTTCATATGAAATTAAAATGTTCATAATAAACACATCGAAAACAACAAATAGTGAAAATTCTGAAATTTACGCTTGCCATCAGGCCATATAGACCTTTATACATTAGATGGCTACCTTCCGCAATAATCTGTTCAGATATCATTACAATAACACTTTAAATAACATGAACTAACTTTGACTTTACCATTGGAAAGTCTGCTGACTTCAACGTGGCACTTTTCCCACCAAAATGGCGAGTTGTTATCCCTTTTAGAAAACACGTAAATGTGTGATTATTTAACCAATTAATAAATGACGAAAATGAATAACTTTCTCTTTTTCTTTTGCTTCTAGCTATTGTACATTTATTTTTATTATGTGCATCATTAAACTTAATCTACCCTCCATGGTTGAGGTATAAGAGTTATATTTTCAAATCACCATCTTTGTAAAAGCAAAGGGAGTATTGTCCTCAGCCATGGTTGACGTGGATAATGGAACAACACGGAGGAGACATAACTGTCCAACTCGAAATGAAAGTAGTTTATTTTAAAGCATTAACTGTTAGACATCCTACTCCCCGCCCTACATTCTAAATTTTACCCAGAATACCACATGTAAAGTTTTACACTCCGCTTATCTGTCATCTGGTGCCTCTGTTATCATGATTGCCAAGGCAACTCCACTTTAACATCGGAACATCCCTAAACCCAGTTGAGGTCAGAGTTCCTCCGTCATTTAAGATTTTAACGGCCTCGCGCAATTTCATGTCTTTATCTGCAGCCAGCGCCTCGAGACGGCAGTCGTCACCCAGCCCAATATTCACTGTTACAAGATATGGAATTTCCGAAAAATGGCCACAAAAATTTAGGAATGGTTTATTTATATACTCCAATATCTATGTATTTGACGGAATGTTTGCAAGATGGAATCGTTTTGGCAATTTTTGTTGCGAAATCCTAGAGGAGTTTTCATTCACCATCCCATGCCTTGACATGCAATAAAGATAGAGAGCAGAACTGCCATGTCTTAAGATAGATAGTAGAACTGCCATGTCTTAAGATAGATAGTCTTACGCCCGAGACGTGTGTCAGTTTTGGTGCCACACTAATATCAGTCGATAATCTTGAAAATGAAAGCCTAAATGGAAACAATATTGACTCGAAAATTCATTATTTAATTTCAGTATGTTGCTTCCAGAAAAGATAGATAGATGTGATAGACAAACGAAACATTACCAAATAACCCAGTTCTTAGTTCTAGATGTCCGCGGAAACTAATTAAGAACTACGCAGACCAGGGGAATTAGAGCACACGATAGGAAATTACCAGAGTAGAATACGAAAGGTTATTACAAAGCAACAGAGGGTTAGTTAGCGATATGACTATACACTGTGAGATATTTACGGAGGAGAATACGAAAGGTTTTACAACGGAACAGAAGATTAGTCTAATATACATTCACAACTATGGTAAATAGTAGAATACAAATTACCCACACATTTTTACTATTGTATCTGTTAACTAATGATTGATACCCTTCCGTGTTCACAGATTGGTGGACCCACAATCACGCTTAATTAGGATTAAACCATACATAAAAAGTCTTTAAAAAAACTACTGGACAATTTTGGTTGTTGGCGGTGGAAAATTAGACACTAACACTTCTTATAGCTTGTAAACCAGCAGGAAAACCCATCAAAATGATTTCTCGATATTGATGATGAAAAGAACCTGGCTAAGTGATGACATACGTCTTCATGCCGCCTTCACTTAACATTTACAAACGTCTTCTTTAGATTTTTTCCCTAGCACTCACTAGAGGAGTGAGGCTTCAATGCGAAAACTTTATAATAGAAAACGTAAACGATGTAAATTGAATACGTGATATTACATTTACGCGAGTTAATTGAGTTTGATCCTTTGGTTTATAAATGTATTTGTATAATTATTTAGCACTTTCTTTGCAAAACTTCTATGTGATTCAAAAAGTATGGTTTATCAAAGAAGAATGAATTAAATCAATTCTGCTTATATACGCAGTGTAGTACAACTAAACCCCACTGGGATGTTAACATTGATTCAAAATGCTGACCGCAAACAACGTGACATTGTAAAGGAGCTGTTTTTTTATGTTCACCAAAGTACACAGTAAACGTATCAATGGTCAATTAGTGTACAGCAGTGTACGCATTGTACAACAGTGTACGCATTGTATAACAGCAGCGTCTGGTCATGGCTGGAAATGTGGTAGTCTTATTTCAGTAACGGTAGAAACAATTAATAATCAATAAATGAACTCTTACTTCGAGGTATTTGCATACAATAGGATATGTTTGGCATGTTGGAATAGGACGCACCTTATTTCTCGTGACATCTGTTTTGAGAAATGATTACCCACTCGACACGTGACGTAGCAGCCGCTGCACCATGGCGAAGATGGTCGGCATATGTGGAGAGCAATGTTCAGCCTGACCCGCCTTGGCCCCGTTGTCTGGCCGTAATCTTAAGCTGNATCTGCAGCCAGCGCCTCGAGACGGCAGTCGTCACCCAGCCCAATATTCACTGTTACAAGATATGGAATTTCCGAAAAATGGCCACAAAAATTTAGGAATGGTTTATTTATATACTCCAATATCTATGTATTTGACGGAATGTTTGCAAGATGGAATCGTTTTGGCAATTTTTGTTGCGAAATCCTAGAGGAGTTTTCATTCACCATCCCATGCCTTGACATGCAATAAAGATAGAGAGCAGAACTGCCATGTCTTAAGATAGATAGTAGAACTGCCATGTCTTAAGATAGATAGTCTTACGCCCGAGACGTGTGTCAGTTTTGGTGCCACACTAATATCAGTCGATAATCTTGAAAATGAAAGCCTAAATGGAAACAATATTGACTCGAAAATTCATTATTTAATTTCAGTATGTTGCTTCCAGAAAAGATAGATAGATGTGATAGACAAACGAAACATTACCAAATAACCCAGTTCTTAGTTCTAGATGTCCGCGGAAACTAATTAAGAACTACGCAGACCAGGGGAATTAGAGCACACGATAGGAAATTACCAGAGTAGAATACGAAAGGTTATTACAAAGCAACAGAGGGTTAGTTAGCGATATGACTATACACTGTGAGATATTTACGGAGGAGAATACGAAAGGTTTTACAACGGAACAGAAGATTAGTCTAATATACATTCACAACTATGGTAAATAGTAGAATACAAATTACCCACACATTTTTACTATTGTATCTGTTAACTAATGATTGATACCCTTCCGTGTTCACAGATTGGTGGACCCACAATCACGCTTAATTAGGATTAAACCATACATAAAAAGTCTTTAAAAAAACTACTGGACAATTTTGGTTGTTGGCGGTGGAAAATTAGACACTAACACTTCTTATAGCTTGTAAACCAGCAGGAAAACCCATCAAAATGATTTCTCGATATTGATGATGAAAAGAACCTGGCTAAGTGATGACATACGTCTTCATGCCGCCTTCACTTAACATTTACAAACGTCTTCTTTAGATTTTTTCCCTAGCACTCACTAGAGGAGTGAGGCTTCAATGCGAAAACTTTATAATAGAAAACGTAAACGATGTAAATTGAATACGTGATATTACATTTACGCGAGTTAATTGAGTTTGATCCTTTGGTTTATAAATGTATTTGTATAATTATTTAGCACTTTCTTTGCAAAACTTCTATGTGATTCAAAAAGTATGGTTTATCAAAGAAGAATGAATTAAATCAATTCTGCTTATATACGCAGTGTAGTACAACTAAACCCCACTGGGATGTTAACATTGATTCAAAATGCTGACCGCAAACAACGTGACATTGTAAAGGAGCTGTTTTTTTATGTTCACCAAAGTACACAGTAAACGTATCAATGGTCAATTAGTGTACAGCAGTGTACGCATTGTACAACAGTGTACGCATTGTATAACAGCAGCGTCTGGTCATGGCTGGAAATGTGGTAGTCTTATTTCAGTAACGGTAGAAACAATTAATAATCAATAAATGAACTCTTACTTCGAGGTATTTGCATACAATAGGATATGTTTGGCATGTTGGAATAGGACGCACCTTATTTCTCGTGACATCTGTTTTGAGAAATGATTACCCACTCGACACGTGACGTAGCAGCCGCTGCACCATGGCGAAGATGGTCGGCATATGTGGAGAGCAATGTTCAGCCTGACCCGCCTTGGCCCCGTTGTCTGGCCGTAATCTTAAGCTGTCCAACCATTTACATTTTACACCATGCACTTACCTCGGCACATGCCAGCTGTGCTTATAATAGCTTTTTTGGAATCTGTTGTCAATAGAATATAGTAGATGAGTACCATTCGCATAGTGCACTTGGTTGTTGCTGCATACAGGTTCGCACAATCATTTTTTGTTCTCTGAGCTATTCTTCTTTTTTATTTTATTATTATTTTTTTGTCCATTACTTTTGTAGTATTTTTTTTGCAAAATTATATATTTGTGTATACAATGCTGGTTATGTTAACATTTGTACGCTGCAGTTTGTCCGAACCTTGGGAATTATTGGAAATTATTAATAAAGACAGTGTCTGAGATTCGTATTCCGGTAAAAGGCCAAAGCGTTCCCCAAAGGCACTTATAAAGAGTGGATATTTCTTGGGATATTTCAGACGCATGTTGCTACAGGTCATATCACGCTAAGAAAATAGCAATTAAAGCTGCTTCACTTTTCGCGTCAGTTCCAATTAAATTTGGCCAGACACAGGCTTAATGGAGACATTAAC